AAGTAGTGGCTTAGAATATAATCCTTTTATTAGTCAAAAAGTATAATTACAATAAAAAGTGATAATTCTGTAATTATATTTTGTTCGACGGATTTAAATAAAAGTAAGTATACAAAAGTCATTTTAATAAATATTCAACTTTAATTTCTTTCCACTAGGGACTTAAATGCACCGAATTGTAAAGGTTAAGCACCCATGTGCAAAATGCCGGTTGAAAGCCCCAATCGCACTATGCAGAGGTAGGAATACGAGTCTAATTTATCTTAAATTTAATGGGAACCAAAATTATAATTAATATTGTAGCATGCTCAATTATTTGCTAAATATATGAACAATGTTATGTATCATCGTGACGTACCCACCACCAATGTTGCCTAAGGCTATGAGCTCAATTAATTTGAAGAAATGTAATATGGAATAGAGATTGATGGAGAATGTGTGGTTAAAAAAGAAGAATTTTTTTATTTGCTTGTAATATTATTTAAATTAAGAATGCGTGATTAAAAATGAATACTATAAAAAAATAATGATAAATAATGTAAAGTAAATGACAACAAGCGGGGCTAATTATGATAGGATTCATCATCACAATATAATGAAAAAAATGAACGAAAGATTGCGAATCCCAACAAATAGAGGCAGTTAACTTATGAATTCTTAATACAAACAAACAAAACAAAAGCCAAACTATCTTACGTTAGCTCCTTTCACGCGTGCAACTGTATATGTACAATTTTTATATACAAATATAATTTAATGCATATATGCCATTTCCTAAATGGCAATAAAAGAAGGTTAGGGAATTGAAATTTGTTTAGAGCACCTTTGAATTTATTCGCATTTCATCATTTTTTCTATCTCTCGTCATTAATTTTTTTTGCCCACAGATTATAGACCCTGTGTATTATTATTCGCTTGGATTACTATAGATCATCTAAATCTGAATTTTTTTCCCCCGAGAGGAGCAACATAAAAAGATTGAAGTTTTAACGCATTTGAGACAGAATTCTTGAGTTTTCTTGATAAAAGGCTCTTGTTTTTGTTTGGGATTTTTTGATTTCATGACTGCTGGTACAGAAGTTTCTGTTGAGACCTCAGTGGTGGAGATGGAGAAACCTGCTGCTGTTCCTGTTGCTGTTGAGTTTTCATCACCAGAAAATACAGACACTGCCAGTGAAAACAGCACTGAAAAAAAGGCTGATTCCAATGCTAAGGAGTCTGGGGAAAGGGATGTAACTAGTGTTGGTAAGGACTATGATTCAGATTCAAAATCAGAACTGCAAATGAAGGATATTGTTGACATGCTGAAGAAACTCAAATTGAATCGCCTGGCTAAGGAATTCTTTCCTTCCTCTTATTATCCCGGCCAGACGGGGGCCAGAAATTTTGTGCTAGCGGATAAGAACTCCGGCATTGATGGTTCCCCAATAAACCGTAGGGTACAAACTGTTTGTCATTTGATTGATATTTACGGTGTCCATTAAGAAATTGATTATACTTTGCAATTCTTTTGATGCTTGACATTGTCATCGATTATTATCTTCTGTTTGGGCTTGGGCGTATAATATAGAAATGAATTCTTAGTGTTCGTTTCACATTTCTCTGATTTTCTGATTTAATAGTTATCCAAAATAAAATTCTACGGCTTGAGAAATACTAGTTCATAGAATTTACGATGGCTTCTATCTGTTTTTGGTGGGTAAATTTTAGGACTTTCCCTCTGTTATTTTTATTATTATTTTTTTGTTGTTGTCTGTGGTATTGGAATTCTGACGATCTGTGTATAAATGCGTCTTTTTGTTAGTTGGCAGGTGGGAACTGAAATATGTTCACTGAAGATAGAACAAAATATGCAGCTCTACTTAATCCAAGAACGAATCTTTGAAACTATAAGAACTGATTGTTGCTAATTCATGTATGGATATGGAGCTTTGATAAATGAATTGTCATAAAGCAACCTATTCATTTTGTCGATATGAGATTTATACTACTGCTTATAAGATCTATCTCTTGTTTCAGCTGAGGCAAATTTGACCAAATCTAGGAAGTGGTGGACGCACTTCTATTGTTTAATGGATTTTCAATGTGTCAGTTTTTCAAAAAAAGGATTGCTGCAGTTGATTTAACAGAAACTGATCATTTGGCATTTTTTTTATTCGTTCGACATGGATAATTCGCATCCAGATCATCAGCTTGCTCATTGACAGTCTATTTCTAGGTTTAGTCACACGGACATTATTTGTGTATATACGCACGTATATACACATATCTGATTATTAATGGAACACGTGGTGCTAAACATTTTTCTTATCAGACAATTTAATCTTGTTTTTGAGTATCATAGTTGCCTTGGTCTGAATTGGTGTTCTTGAAATGTTATAGATACTGAGATTTGAAAACCTTCTAATTCCATTCAATTCCATTAGATTGACGTTCATTGCATGCTCTAAAATCTACATTTTTATGTGTTTCAGAGAAGAAATAACCACAACCAAGGCCGGAGGAGAATGGGTGTTAGGACTTTCAGAGCTCAAAGAGAAGAGAGTATTAGGCGAACGGTCTATGTTTCTGACATAGATCACAATGTAAGAAAAAGCAACAAACTTCACTTAACTTATTTTAATCTTTCAGAAGAAATATTTATATAATTTCTCACCTGTCAAATAAGGTCACTGAAGAGGGGCTTGCTGCCTTATTCAGCTCCTATGGGCAAGTAAGTTTCTGTGCTCAGATATATTATATATGAATTGCTCTACCTGCACTCCTAGTACTTGATTTCCTTGTACCTCAGCTTTTGGGATTATTTTCTCTGACCATGATTTACTGATTGTTTAAAGATGATAAATTTTTCAAAATTCTTGGCCATTGCCAGACCATACATAAAATGTTCTGACCATATTTTATAAAATATGGTTTTGCACATCGGAGTTATTTCACAAAAGTAGGGTAAGGAAGAAAGGGGGAACAAGCACACTTGGAGAACTTGTATTGTATTATTTGGTCTACGTACTGGAACTGATAATAATCGAGATTGGACAATTTAGAAGATATAATCGGAGGACATGTATGGTTAGGTTCCATTTGTATATTTGGTGGAATCTAATCGATTACGATAAATTGGATCGAATTTTGCTGCCGGGTCGAACAGGAGGAGTACGCCATGCTAATGTGCCTGAACTCCCATTAAAAGAAAACTAGAACCCCCCGCCGTGTACACCGACACAGGTGGGTAGGTGGAGAATACCTAGGGGCACGAATCATTGAATATACAATTCCAACAAATTTCTCACATACAGTCCGATTTTTTTTTTTCAAACAACAAGCAACAAACAATAACGAAGAAATGAGAATTAGAATATTTTCTATTCTTCATTTTCATTTTATTTTATAGGGCTCAAGGGCTATACCGACTCGATTGGAAATCCTGTATTTTACATATCCATACGATTGAGTCCTTGGGTTTTCGAAATCTTTTTCTTCGTAGGTCATTTGTGGCACGAGGGAAGGGCTCGTGCAGCTACAGCAGGATTTGAAAAAGGAAATAGCTCCTCATCATATTAAAGCAGGGACTATTCCACCAACTCATCACTTCGTATTATCTGGATTAAAGAACTATCACAAGTACCCCCTCGTCCCGAGCCATCGCACGGAAAACTATAACCAAAATTCTTTTTATTTGGCATTAACTTGGAACCCAACATTCCCCACTTGTCCGACTGTTGCCAAGCAGTTTTTGGATATCAAATGGACTGTCCCAGAAGGTAATTTTAATGTGGCCGAATCATTACAGATAGTATGCCCCCGGCCCATTCACATATTTTTTTGTTTTGCGCGGATGTGACAGGAGATCCAATGCTTGGATTGAAGTAAGAATCACTTTGATTCTATCATAAATATTGGGATTGGGTTTATGTTTCAACACCAACTGGTTTCATTCTGAAATTGGTTGAGTGTGAAATATGGAAAAAGTTATTGTATTTATATTGAAGATTAAGGTCTAAATAATTTAGCAGTGCGGTACTATGAACTGTCTCAAACAAATTGTTGAGGTCAGCAGTTTGACTAGAGTCGTTAAATATATCATTGAAGCAGAAGTTCAAATACCACATTGTCTAGTTCCCTATCTTTATCTCATCCTTTTCAATAATCATTAAATTTGTTGAAGAATGATTCAATTTAATTAGACCTGGAAATAAAAATTTACATTAAAAGATTATAGTATATATCTATTAAGTTTGATTTTGACAATGTTATCTTTTATTTCAAGTTTGTTTAGCTAGGAAGTTTATTTAATTTCTAGGTCCTTCTCTATATAAAGGGACTTATGGCATTATTTACAAACACACCTGAATTATATGAATAAAACTATTTCTCTTGCCCTCTATTCTTCTCTTTGATCCCCTTTCTTCTTATTGTCCTTTATCAATTTGTATGTTTC